TTGGGTGAGTTTCCTTACTCCACACAGAGCCTAATAATAATCCCTCCAAAAAACAAAACAATAATATATTGGTCATTTTCAATCTACGACTGTTTGTGGGACATTGCTGTGCGCAATTGGCTGCCGCGTTTCGCCCACAAATATACAGTCAATTCATTTTACAGCATATTCTGTGAAGCGCTTTGAGACGTCCTCCCGATGTGAAATGCAAGGATTGTTATTATTATTCTCATCACACAAAGGATGCAGTTTAAGATCCTGGTCCTCACCTTCAAAGCTCCCCATGGCCTTGCTCCCCCCTAACGCCTATCATCCAGCTCGCTCCCTCCGCTCAGTGGGCTCCGGCCTGCTTCACATTCCCCACCTCACCCGTCCCACCATTGGCGGGCGGGCCTTCTGCACTCTGCCCCCATCCTTTGGAACTCCATCCTGAAGTCCCTTCACCTCGCCCCCTCCCTTGCCTCCTTCAAGACCCATCTCAAGACCCTCCTCTTCGACCATGGTTTTGATTTCCCTGCTTCCCCCCCACCCAATCCCAACCCCCAGCTCAGGCACAAAACTCTGTCTGCCCAGCGCCTTGGGATGTCCTCCAAACGTGAAAGGCTCTATACAAATGTTATTTTGTTGTTGTTGTTGGAAAGCCAACAAGAGCTTGTTGGATCCACAAGTTTCCGTTTCCACATTGCAAATTACCTCCCCTCCCAGCCCAGGTGAACCAGTGACATTTTATTGCTGCACAAGCCACAGTTAAATGTCTCTATGCAGCCTCCAGCTGAATGGGCTATTTTTCATGTTGCTGTACTGCTGCGATCAAACAGGCCTCTCTCCTGCCAGCATCACACAGGGACCTTACACTGAACCGTAATAAACTAAAGCCGTTGTCCACATACAGAGAGAAAGAGAGACACACACATAGGGAGAGAAATGCAGGGAGAGAGAGAAGAAAGTCAGAGAAAGAGACTGCACTGACCTAGTTTATATCTAAAAGAGAATGAGAGAGCGCGCTCAAGACTAACCAGGAAGTGTGTTCATAAGGGGCAATCAGCAGCTGGAACAGGTTAACGGCAAGGGTGCTTGAGGCCAGGACTAGTAAGAGAAACAGCAATACTATACACAAATGTAGGTATGCTGGAAGGAAGAGATTCTGGTAGAGATTAGCTTCTCTAGTGCATTGAACCAGCAAAAAAGCATATTCAGTCATTTTACCAAAATTGAATTTTCAAGATAATAATACGAAATGTTATTACGGTCACCTCCTTCCTCCCCCGTCTCAGTGTCAGGCTCTGCCACCGTTAAGCGCTGTCCCGAGTGAAAGGCACCATATAAATGCAAGTTGCTGTTGTTAAAATAAATATAATAATCCTCACATTTGACGCAGTGCCTTTGACATCGGGAGGGCGTCTCAAAGCACTTCACAGGAATGTTACTGTGTCTGGGACGCTGTGTGTTTTGTAGGATACTTGAAAAGGCCCCTCAAAAGAAAAAAAATCACTTGAGAGTCAGGAGTGGGGACATACAGCAGAGAGTAGCTAACTGCCTGTCCAGGAATCTCTTGCTCTTGAAGCCAAACTGACCTGTGTCTTGTTAACATTTCAAGATATGTCAAGTCTAGACAGAAAAGCTTTTCAGATCTGCGGCACCATTCACTTCCCCCCTCACCACCAACCTCATCTGATTTGCAAGCCCCTGAAAACCAGAGAGTAATCCAATCCTCTCCAGTCTTCAATACATTTAAAAAGATTCAGATCTGCAATCTCGGTCTAAAATCTGTAATTTTAGGAATCCAAGCCTCTCCCACACTTCCCGGGGCAACTCTTTGAATATGAAATGCCAGGGTGATCTATGAAAATTCAACTTCATTCATTTAAAATATTTTTTTTAAAAAAGGGAGATTTGCTCTCCCAAATATTCCTGGGGCTCTCATTTTAGAAGCAGAAATCTCAGAAGTTGAGTAAACCTCCCATCAAACACTGCCCTTGCTCCATCCTACTTCTGTGACCTGCTAACGCCAACCTGTCCGCTCCGTCCACTCAGCGGGCTTCTGCCTGCTCCCCGGTCCCCATCCGGCCCACCCCACCATCGGTAGTCGGGCATCAGCCTCTCTGCCCCTTTTGGAACTCCACCTCCTTCGCCTTGCGCACTCCCTTGCCTCCTTCAAGACATGTCTCAAGACCCTCCTCTTTGACTGTGCCTACGGTCACCTTCCTTCCCCTAACCTCCCTGCCCTCCACCTCTCCTGATCCCAACCCTCTGCTCGGTTACAAATCCCTAACTGTACAGTGCCTTGGGGCGTCCTTCCGACGTGAAAGGCGCTATACAAATGGAATTTGTTGTTGTTTTTGTTGGGAGTGTAGCACTTAAGAAACTCAAGTTGTAGAATTATAGGGGTCTGAAATGGACAGCACTCACCCACAAAGGACATTTTACCTAATTAATCCTTTGCCACATACACACAGTCCCTAAATTTTACAGTATATCATGCGAAACACTTAGGGACGACCTCCCAATGTGAAAGCGCTCAGCCAAATCTAAGGCTATTATTACCTTACATACATATACATGAAAGAGAACAACTTGCATTTATACGGCTTTTCAAGTAGATTTAGACATCTTGATGTTAAAACACAAAGACAGGAGGAAGAGAGAGAGAGAAAACAATTGGCACTTATAGGGCCTTTCATATAGAATGAGGAGCATGACTAACATATACGCACAAGCACGAGAGACGGAAAGCAATTTGCTCCGATATAGTACCTTTTATGTAGAATGAATGCATTGAAGCTCTCTCGCTCTTTCTCTTTCACACATGTACGAAAGACATAAATGAAAAAAATCTTGCTCCTGTTTAGCACCTTTCAGGTAGAATGAATGTTATGAAGCACTCAACAAACATGATGGGGAGCAACAGCAATGTCTGCCAGTAGTTCGGGAAATATATTTCTTTAATCCATTTAAGGGACAGCTCAGCCTACACTTGTGGACAAGATACATGTGCGTGCTTTTCCCTCTTACCTCTCTCCAACCCCGCACCGACACCCCCTCCCCAAATAGAATTCTTTGGTCACCAAGTTAATTTTTGATTTTCTCACAAAACAAATGTTTATTCAGCAATTGGTGATAATCAAACAAAAATCCTTGCATATGATGCAGCCCCCATAACATCAAAATGTTACCAAATGCTTTGTATTAAATTGCTGTCAATTGCTTTGTGTGTAATTTGCCTGTATTTATAGGCAAACATGGCAGCCTATTTGAGCACCAAATATGGAATGCTGCTTTGATGTCCAATCCACAGCATCTCTGACAAACCACTGGAGCTCCAGCCTAGAGTGGCTTATGTGGGGCTAAAACCCACAACCTACTGACCTAGAGGCACGAGTGCCAGCAACTGAGTCAGGCTGATGCTCCTCACACCGCACTACCCACCTGTTAATGTGGAAATAGGTTTTCCACAGTTCTTACTAAAAACAGTTTCCAAATTAACAGCGAGTGGAAGATTTTTTTTCCACAGTTCAACATCATCTTAAATTTTAAGGCATAAAGGCTAAGACCATGTGGAATTTGAGACCTCAGGGTTCCTTCACTCCCTGACAGAGACACATTTTACTGAGTTATACATTTTCATGATAAACCGATAATGGCATCTCTGAGGGTCAGTCCACGTCTGACAACTAAAGTATGGAGCAGAGCTACTCCTGATTCACAGCAACCCAGAGTCAAACACGAACAATCCGCACACAGAGAACTTTTAATTCTTTCATATAACAGGTTAATGGCAAAATGTGTCCAACCAAGCACTTCACAGCAACAAACAGTGACTGTTTTCTTCCAGACCATCAAAAGTGTCAAGACTTTGCTCTTTGGTCATGCTTTCAAGCACCAAACTGCCTCTACCCACTGGCCTCTTGATTCCAACTCCCAGCTCGGGTGCAAACCCTTAACTGTGCAGCACGTTGGAACATCCTTCCAATTTGAAAGGCGCTGTGTAATTGTAATTTTGTTGTTGCCTTAGATCCTCGTCCTCACTTCCAAGGACTTGCATCCATGGCCTTGCCCCCTCCTACCTCTCTGACTTGCTGACTCTCTACTAACCTGCCCGCTCCCTCCGTTCAGCGGGCTCCGGTCTGCTCCATGTCTCCCGCCCGACCCGCCCTACCTTCGGTGGCCGGGCTTTCAGCCTCTCTGCCCCCACACTCTGGAAGTCCATCCCACGGTCCCTTCACCTCACTTCCTCCCTTGCCTCTTTCAAGGCCGATCTCAAGACCCTCCTCTTCGATCGTGCCTTCGGTCGCCCTCGCACCTCTCTGCCTTCCCTCACCCCTACACCACCCCTCCCCCATGCTCGAGTCCTGACCCCTGACTGTCCAGCGCCTTGGGATGTCCTCCCGACGTGAAAGGCGCTCTCTAAATGTAATTTTGTTGTTGTTGTTGACTCACTTAAAAACCTTAGAAATGTTAGGTCCATTATGCCTGTGCTCAGTTCTCTGAAAGAGGTACCTGTTTTGTCCAATTATCCTACATCCACCCCCATTTCTCTTCTTTCTCTTGGGATATTGAAACATTTATTCACAGAAAAAAACTCAGAAATGTATGCAACATATATATTATATATAAAAAACTCAGAAATGTATGCAACATATATATTATATATAAAATCTTAAATGTCAACCTGCACGGCAGTCAATTGCACACAGCAGCGTCTTACAAGTAGTTGTGGATTGAGTGACCAAACTCTTTTTTGGTAGGGGATTATTACCCCTGAAAGCGATCTGCCAATCGATTAACAACCAGGTTCAGGTGAACAGAAGTATGTGGATTAAAGAAACTTGCCTAAGGTTTTGCCCTGCCTGGGAATCGAACCGAGGCCCTCTTGCTTTTGCGGTGAGTGCTGTAAGCAACACTCTACAGGACTCCATTAAGGTCTGTATAGTCTGTTTGCGCGTCAGACACACAGGTACGGCCTGCGGGTGTAGGTGGTGTTTTGAGGAGCTCTGCCTTACCTCTCTCCGCCTTGATGCCCAACAGCTTTGTTTAATCTTCCACACCACAGCAGCCACCAGCAGTAGGGACAGAAAACAACTGCAAAATATTGAAAGAATAGTCAGCCTTCCACAGGGGAAAAAAAACACTTGTCAGTTTTACATCTCATCACATGGATATGGCTAAGAAGTGCTTTATGGTAATAGTCAGCCTGGCTCAGTCGGTAGCACTCTTGCCCAAGTCAGATAGTTGTGGGTTGAAGCCACACGTCAGGACATTGAATTCATCGTCTGGGTTGATGCTCCAGTTCAGTGTTGGGGGAGCACTGGGTTCTCGGGGATGCCATCCTGCGGATGAGGCATTAAATCGACCACCCAACTGTGCCCGTTATAATAATAATCCTTGCATTGGATACAGCACCTTATCACGTCGTTGAGACATTTCAAAGCGCTTCACAGAATATATTGAAAAGTGAATTGACTGTGTATTTTGTGAGCGAAACACGCAAGCCAATTGCACACCACAGTACCTTCTATCCTATAGAGTTAGAGTGCCACCAATCGAGCCAAGCTGACATCTTCACACAGAGTCATTTGAATGTAAGCTCACTCTAGCCAATAGCTTAATTGCACCAAACTACTTTGTCAGAAAAACTCCTCAAGAAAAAAGTCCAAGCAAAGGTTTGTAACGTATCAAGCAAAAGGATTACTTGGGAACTGAAATAAAACCTGAGAGCATTTCTCTAAACTTTTGAGGGTTGTGTGGAGTAGTTACATTTCACTGAAGTTCATTTAAAGGGTTTTGGAGTCTTGTAACACCCAGAACTTAACCAGGCAATATTATAGGATTCAAAACCACTGATTTTCGTAAAGCAAAAGAAAGTTTGGGGAAGGACGGAAGGAAAAAGTATGAATCCCTGTTGACCGCTGTCCCCAAAGCTGTAAAAATGTAATTTGCAATATAGAAAGCAATATTTAAAGAACTTAATGAGCCAAGCTTAACCAAGGCAGTGGAAATTAATGGATAAAGTTATGACTGTCTCACAGTTCAAAGCTTTTAGCCTTGCATTAGTTGCTTGCACTTCTGATAGCACACTGATCCAATTCATTCTGGCTCGGGTGTGGGGGGGGGGGGGTGGAGAGGGGAAGGCGAAAAGTAAGCGGGATCTCTCTGGGACTAAACCAAATCTGTGAAAACATACACTCGCCTCGCAAGCGAGAGGACATGGGCTTGATTCCTGTGCAGGACGAAGCCTTAGGCAAGTTTCCTTATTCCACAAGCTTCTGTTTACTTACTTGAAAACAGAAACCTGATTGTTAGTCAATTGGCGGATCACTTTTCCGGAGGTAATAATTCCTTCATAAGTATATATTTCTTAAAAATAAGTTGGTCACTGAATTCACGACTGTGTTTCGCCCACAAAATATAGTGTCAATTCACTTTACTGTATATGCTGTGAGGCACTTTGAGACATCTTGAAGACATGATAAAACACTATATCAAATGCAAAGATTATACAACACAATACAATACAAAAAATAATTATTATTATGTAGCGCTTTTCACACAAGTACATATCAGAGTGCCTCACAGGATTAGTAGAAGTATTAAGGGGGGTAGGGGGGTGGGGATGGGGAGGATGAAGGAAACATCCACGCAGAGATAATAATAATAATTCTTGCATTTGTTATAGCACCTTATCACATCGTTGAGATGTTTCAAAGTGCTTCACAGATTGTAATATTGTAAAGTGGAATGACTATTTTGTGGGTGAAGTGCAATTGCACACAGCAGCGTCCCACAAACAGTTGTGGATTGATCAAATTTGATGGGATTATTACCACTGGATATTGATCCGCCAATTGACTAACAACCAGGTTCTGCTTACTGCTAGGTAAACAGAAGCGTGTGGAGTATCGAAACTTGCTTAAGGTTTCGCCAGAGCCGGGAATCGAACCCGGGGCCTCTCGCTTACGAGGCTAGTGCTCTAACCACTATGCTACGGGACTCCAGAGTTAGGGGAATATGGAACAATTTGCTAAAAGCTAAGACCACAACTTTGAAAAATGAACTGGTTAAGAATCTGAAGAGGAATGAAGTGGTGGGGGGAACCAGGCAGCAGTGTAATTGGTACTAAGTTGCGACACTGTGTGTTGTGATGGTCATAATTCTTCGCAGTTTCCTGTTTTCATAAGTACTAAACCAGCACTAAGCTCTCCCTTACTCCCTAATTTCACTTTTGCTCACATTATGGCATTGTCTGTTCCACTTAAGACACGTTAGGAGTAGGTCTGCTAAGACTCCAGAGCTACAGAATCCTTCTTAATGCGATTCTGTGGAAACCAGTAGCAATGGGTTAGACTAATCCATCTAAAGCTCTATTGATCAATTACGCTATAGTACATAATGTTACAGTCAGTCATTCATCCACAGGGACCTGTAACAAATAAGTAAAAGGCAGGCAATTTTAGAGGTCGATTGTAACAGGACTCAGTTTTGAGTCTAATGTCAATAACACTGAATTATATGATGGAGAGAGCTATCTCACTCAGTTAATATAAACGGCAGCTCTTTAAACAATCTGCCAATGCCAACTTGTAATCGGTTTGGAACGAAATGTTGAGTGAATGACATGAAGCCAGGCTATTAATTGCACTCGCTCTATGTTGGGTCTCAATATTGGTAATCAATAATCCACATTTCAGCAGTGTTCAGTAAATTCAGCGCACGTTCAACGAGATTCACTATAATAATCCTAGCATTTGATATGGTGCCTAATCACGTCTTCAAGACATCCCAAAGTGGTTCACTGGGTTTTTACTTTTAAATGTAGTAACTGGATTTTGAGGTGAATACAGAAGCCATTTTTTGAATTACAAAGTTCCAGTGGAGTGACTGTGTATTTGTAGGTTAACATAACAGACAATTTGTGCACAGTCATGAAGTGAATGACTGATTTTATTTGAAGGATTATTGCTCAGTCAAAGGATAGCACCTCCAACAATGTAGCCTTCCTCCAATTCTGCACTGGAATCTCAGATGAGTCTGAGCTCAAATTCCTGCCAAGAGGCTTGAACCCATTCTGACAAAGACAGCGCTACAGATAGAGCAAACCCACATCTCACTGCCTTCGCTCGACTGGCTCTGGCCTCCTACTTGTCCCTCGCCTTCTGTTCTACCATCAGTGGCCGCACTTTCATTCACTACAAGGTCCGAAACTCTGGAGCACTCTTCCTCTATCCCTACACCTTGCCTCTATCCATACACCTTGCCCAGCCTGAAGATCTTCCTTTTCGACCATCCCCCCTCCCCCTGACTCGGCATCGTGCTCCGCACTGTCAAGTGCTCTGGGACGCTACCCTGTGTGAGGGGTACTATATAAATACAGGTTGTTGATGCTTTTGTCTAAGTTAAGAGAATTTCAATGGGGGAACAAGTTAACAATGGAAGGGGAGGGTGTGTGTGGAGAGGAGGTAAGGATCTCTTCAGACCCCTTATCCAAGCCACAAGCTAGTCTGCCTAGACTTCTCCCCAGCCACTCTTCCAGACTTAGAACCAACAATGTAGACACTTTGCTTTGAGCCAAAGTAATAGAGAATGATTTTATATAACTGCTTTGCAAAGTTATTACTAGTCATCAAAGCTAATGGAGCAGTGTAGATTGTCACACTTTTCAATGTGATGGCAACATTAAGGTAATTCCAAGCTCTTTTAAGGACGACGCAGCTCACTGGGCACACAGCACTACACAGAATACAAAGAAAGCAGCTTAAACTCACAAAATGCAATACTGTAACGTCACAACCAGAAACAGACTAATCAGCCTGTCTGGGTTCAGGAATCCACCGCCTGTATTCTCACACACACTGAACTCCATATCCCCATCACACAAGTCCTCTCCAGGCTCCACTGGCTCCCTATCACAGAATGGATGGATTTCAAGATCCTCTCACTCATCTACAAATCCTTTCACGCCCTGGCATCTCCCTTTCTGACTTGATTTCTACCCACTCCACTATCCGCTGCCTCCACTCAGCTGGCTCCGGCCTCCTGCTTGTCCTACGTCACCTCCGTTACACCATCAGCACTGCGCTTTCAGCACTCTGAAGCTTTGGAACTCTTGCCATCAATCCCTCAGTCTTGCTCCCTCGTTCCCCTCTTTTAGATAACGACTGAAGACCTCCTTCTTCGACCGTGCTTATGCTCATCTCCTCCCTCCTCCCAACTTGGCATCAGGCTCTGCCACTGTTTAGCGCTCCGAGACTCTGACCCACGTGAAGGGTTCTATGTAAATGCAAGTTGTTGTTGTCTAGTGGGCAATTAATGACTGTAATAGAATGGCCAGGAAGTGTGGCTGAGACCAGGACGCTGGACTAATTTTTTAAAAAAAAACCAGCTCAATGCTGTGATGGGAGGATGGTATGGTAGAGACTTCATCATCCAAAACAATCTCAGCGACTACAATTGTGGCAGATGGATTTTAGGTTCCATCCTCTGTGCAAAGACATTTTTTCATAACCTGCCCTTAATAATCATAATTATAATAATAATCTTTGCATTTGGTATAGTTAGTGCCTTACCATGTTGGAAGGACATCTCAAAGCGCTTCACAGGATTTCTTACAAAGTGCAGTGGTTGTGTATCTGTGGGTAAATACATCAATACAATTGCGCATAGCAATGTCCCAACAATCAGCCATGAAATGAGTGACCAATTTTATTCAGAGGATTATTGGCCAGGATACATAGAGAAAGAAACTCCCTTCTCTTTTTGAATAGTGCCACGGTTCTTTAACATCCACCTCAACAGGCGGTTGACTTTTCATCTGAAGGACGCCACCTCCGACAATACAATACTCCCTCACCCCAGGATTGCATTGGAGCATCATCTTAGACTATGTGAGTTCAAGTGCCAACATGAGATTTGAACTCACAACCTTCTGACGTAGAGGTGAGAGTGCTACCAGGAGCCAAGCTTGAATTCTTTTCTTCTCTACGGACAGTGTACAAGCATCTAAGTTGTTCTAAGTTGTTCTCAATGGCAGTGTAGCTCCCTTTAGGTGCTTGATAGAAAGTGTCATTGCTGAGGTGAACTCTAAC